AGTTGTGAGTTATATATAATGAAGAGTAAAATGAAGTTTAAACAAATAAATTCGGGAAGAAATCAAGACAGTTGTGATTCAAGTGATGACTCGAGTGATGAGGGTGGTAAAAAAAAAGGTTAAAGGTTGGGATAAGTCTAGTAGTAACTAATGTTACAGCTTTGGTAAGTCTAAACACTTTGTGAGAGATTATCCCAAAAAAGGGAATAAGCAGAAGGGTAAGATGAGAGGTGAGGTAAATGTGGCTATAAGGTCGAGTGATAATCATAGTGAGGTTTATTAAGAGTAAATCTAGTTATTGCATGTGCAAATGTGTGTACTCCTTTCTGCATGTGTGATTGCTTAATTATGTTGCATAGTTATATGACATTTCTATGTGTTTAATATGTGCCATTGTATGAATTTGAGAGCAATGTGATTATTTGGTATAATTGTTTGCATGCATAGTGGGTTAGGATGTAATAGCAATAATTGTGTTGTGTGTCTATTGGTGAGGTGGAGTATAGATGACTAGGGGTACATTGGTGGTTTGTACCAGGAATGTGAGATGTGACATTTTGATCACGAGTGAAAATGTGATTAAATGTTGGAACTCTTTAACTGAGAAAATCATGATCATGTGGAGTGTAAGAGATACACGTCTATCACTTATGTTAGGTGGAGACTCATGTATCCACGTAGGTTGGAAAAATGATATGATGATATAGGATTATCCTACGAATTTAGGACCTATTGTGATTTATGAATTAGACATGAATTGAGTGATCAGTTTAGTAAACATGGTGGGCAATGAGAGGGAAACAAAAATGGGATAGGATAAGTGTGGTAAGATCTTTTCATGTGGTCATTTATGCATTTGTTGTATATATGTTAACCGTTTATTGATTAACTTGGTGTTAATCTTTTGTTCTGTGCGAACATGGGTTTGAAAAGATCTGTGTATTATCATATGTTATATCTTCATCGCATATTTATTTGCTCTTGATTGTTTACTATTATAATAAACTTCTACTTGGGTATTTCTTTAAGACTATAGCCCTGGTGAGTACGTAAAGTTGGTATGGTATGTGTTTCGGGTCCAAAACACGAGGTAAAGTCTGTGATCCCAATTTTATTAGCTACTTTGATTGTGTAAGTACTAACTTTGTATTTTGATTACTTGTAAGTTGATTGAGTATAAAGGTGAAGATTTGTTGAGTTTTGATACCTAATAAATCTTTGGCTATGATTATTAAATGTCAGATTGAATTTCATAGGTATTGGTCGATGAGTGAAATTGTTACCAACAGTTAAGTCTAAAAGCGCGACCTAAAAACAATATGGACTGTAGGAAGTAGCTTAAGAAATTAGAGCTACTCACAGCCCATATATATTACCTCTTAGATGGCTTTGAATTTTGGCCCATTTAACCCTTATTGGTCCAACTAAAACCTAACCTAACCCTATATATATGTTGCTTTTTCCCCTTGCCGTTAGTGTATGATTTGTTTATGAAAATGAGGAAAAATGTGGTTGCTTCTTCCTGGAAAAGTCAGTTGCCATATAGAGAGAAAATCAGTGCCTTCATCTTGTGTATTTTGGTCCATTCTCTTGCCTTTTTCGTTGTTTTTCCCATGCCTTTGTGGCCTATAAATCATCACCGTTACCTTATTCTTTGTGGGTGAGATTGAGGAGCAATCGAGATGAATATACTGGTTGTGGGTTGGAGTAGTGTAGATTGGTTGTTTGGTAGAAAAATATAACTAAAAACTGAGCCCGAAATTCACCATTTCTAAGATCTTCGAATGAGCTTCCGCAATAAAGAACATTTAAATTTAGGGAGTAAAAATTTTTAAGTACTTCAACAAGTTCTTTATATATAATACTTAATTTTACTACTTCAGAAAAATATTTATTGTTTTTTTCTTGTCTTTTACTTTCACTAGCTTTCCTCTAAATTATTATATTATTTTTCACTGAAAATTGAAATATTTTAAATGCATTAAATTATAAAGAGCGTGTTTGACTCTCTAAGTTTGGAGAGTCAAACTCTCTCTAAATTAAAATGTTAAATTAAATAGTCTCTTGAAGCATAACTTTAAGGCTTGATTCTTTAAAATAGAGAAATTTTATGTTTGAAGAGTCTTTTAGAGATGCTCTAGAAAACTTATTATGCTTTGGTTTTTCACAAATTGGTATTCCTTTTATGTAAATTGTGGTGGAGGGGAAGTTACTATTTTCAACAAAAAATTTGAAGCTAATGTACAAACAGGAGGTTCAGTACAATTTGTTCACTCAAAAGAGAACTGGGGAACTAGTAGTACAGGACATTTTCCTTGGTTCAAGAATCACTATAAAGCCTACAATGTATCTGTGCTGAAAATGAAGGACTCTGAACTCTATGCAGATGCTCGTCTATCTCCTTTATCTCTCACTTATTACGGGTGTTGCTTAGCAAATGGAAACTACACTGTGACACTTCACTTTGCAGAGATAATTTTTAGAGATAATAACTCTTTCCAGAGTCTTGGGAGACAGATGTTTGACATTTATATCCAGGTCAAGTAATAAATAAACAGTTTTTTTTAGTGCCATTTACTGTTGCAATTTGACTCAAACTTATTCAACGTAATATAGGACGAACTGAAATTGAAAGATTTTGATATTAAGAAGGATGCGAAAGGAGTTGATAACGCTGTGAAAAAACAATTTAATGCGACGGTTAAGAATAAAACTCTGGATATCCGA